CTCCAGTTACGATTCTAATTCTAAAATCAGAAGTTTATTTTTGTCAGCGTGAAACTTGTTGAACCCAGAAGCTTTTTTTCAAGGGCTAACTCTGTCCATCACCCCCATGTGGTTGATGAGTACCACTTTGTTGGAAGTCTGTTGTGATAATCATAGAGAATAAAACTAGCCCTTGCGGTGATAATATGGAATTTTCATCGATGTCTCAGGGCCACCAACAGAGATGAGACACTGCCCTGCGGCTCATTTGAGCAGGAAGACTTTCAGATGGATGTGATTTCTAATTTTGCAAAGCAGATTAGGGTGACCGCAAAAATTTAATGACAAGTGCAGCATTTTACACATATACCGTATAAACTTATTGTTCAATGATGGAGCCGAGGCTGGGCACACAGTGGCCCACCCCTGTGAACGGTGTCACAGGCTCTTGAGCGTGTACGCTCGACAGCAGATGAGCGCTGGGGTAACTCTCCCTACGGACGTGGCCAGGACGTCGCTGGAGGGGTCTAACAGCGTGTCGTCGGGTGGCTCCGTCACGACCGCACCGCCTCTACAGCTGCCGGGTGAGCTCGGTGAACCCCACTGCCGGGTGAGCTCGGTGAACCTCACTGCCGCGTGAGCTCGGTGAACCCCACTGCCGCGTGATCTCGGAGAACCTCACTGCCGCGTGAGCTCGGTGAACCGCACTGCCGCGTGAGCTCGGTGAACCCCACTACCACGTGAGCTCGGTGAACCCCACTGCCGGGTGATCTCGGTGAACCCCACTACCACGTGAGCTTGGTGAACCCCCCTGCCGGGTGATCTCGGTGAACCCTACTGCCACGTGAGCTCGGTGAACCCCACTGCCGGGTGATCTCGGTGAACCTCACTGCCGCATGAGCTCGGTGAACCCCACTGCCGGGTGATCTCGGTGAACCGCACCCGGACTGGCACGCGAGCGCCGGCACTCCCAGCCGCCCAGACTTCAGGAATCGTCTGCTCTTCTTCTGCAAATCCCTCCCCACCCCCCCCCCCCCCCCACCCCGGCAGACTGCCCCCCAAATAAAGTAACGTTTGCCGGCGGCCGCACGTTAACAGCAAGACGTGACGCCGGTAAGTAGATTAGGATTTTGCCAGGAAGAATAAAGAGGCTTTCTGCTTAATTAAATTTGCATTAACAAGGCTGTGGGGCCCAGCCGCCGAACGAACGGAGGCCGCACGTCCCAGTGTAATTCCATAATTAAAGGCCCTTCATGTACGATATTGTTCACTTGAAAACAAATCAATATCCGAGTGTCTGGATGCCAGCAAACGGCAAAAAAAGTCAAACTTCTACATTTCACACCGGCATTAATTTTTCATCAGAGTAGCCATTACATAAGATTAATACCGTGAAAGTGTATCTGAGTTATTAAATTGTAAAGTGCACCGCTATCCGATTGCACAGCGCGGCGGCCGCGCCGCGTTTCACTCAGTCGCTGCGCTCGAGCGTTGAGTTTATTAGCGGAGAAGGAACAAGCGATTAGCGGCACAGCACACGCCCACATGGGCACGCGCACCCTGCCAGCACCAGCGCTCGCCACGCGCTCGTTTTCCACTCTGCCTCCGTCTCTCGCCGACTCCGGCTCACGGCATCGGCGTGAGCCGGCCGAAGCGTTCCCCAGCCGCACCTCTTGCTTCCATAGCTTCCCCCGGACCCCCTCTCCTTGTTTGACGACACCCGGCTTCGCTTCTGGGCAGGAAGCGCGCGGTCTCCCGTTTTGCTGCCTGCAGCCATGCGATTCGATTTCTCACACCGCTCCACGCGGCCTGGTTTTGCGTAACGAGCCCTCCACTGCTCCCGTGCACGGCTGCTTGCTGTGCGGGGCAGCTTGCCGTTCACTGTGCTGCAGCCGTGCGTGGCGTACAACAGTTCATGACACTGGGCGCAGGAGGGAAAACCACTTTGGCTCTAAATAAAGGTGGCGTGGACCTTAACGTTCTCTCAGGCATTAACGCTTATTCTTAGATTTGACACGCGCGAAACGATGAAGCCCTGCTGCTTGCAACTTCGCCTCTCCTTTCCGACCACTTGGCCTCAAAGTGTGCAGCGTGAACGCTCCGTACGGAATACCCGGCGCTACATTTTGCCTTCAGCACAAGGATGGGGTTACTGCGCATCATGTCCAGGTGACTGGTGGCAGCGGGAAGACAAAGACAGCCAGCCACGATGCTGGCTGCGGCACCAGCCCTCCTCATCTCATAGAGCACGTAACGGGGGTGCAATGATTTTTTTTTATGTTATACAGTAAAACCTCGTTATTTCGGCATTTGATCACTCGTAATTGGGAATAATTCGGCACGGCTACGCTTTCAGAATTTCGACAGTATTAGTAATTCGCCACGAGCCGAATTGCCGCACCGAATGGTACAATTTCGGCATGCACGGGGAGCGGCGCCACGCGCCACGACCAAAACAACGGACTCAGTCTAGTGGTGGCGCGCGTGGCGAGCGTGGTGAGTGTGGCGAGCGTGGTGAGCGTGGCGAGCGTGGCGAGCATGGCGAGCGTGGTGAGCGTGGTGAGCGTGGTGAGCGTGGTGAGCATGGCGAGCATGGCGAGCGTGGTGAGCGTGGCGAGCGTGGTGAGCGTGGCGAGCGTGGCGAGCGTGGTGAGCGTGGCGAGCGTGGTGAGCGTGGTGAGCGTGGTGATTGTGGCGAGCGTGGTGAGCGTGGCGAGGGTGGTGAGCGTGGTGAGCGTGGTGAGCGTGGTGAGCGTGGTGAGCGTTCGTGCAGACCCGTTCCTTTGGACTTTACCTTGTTAATGCACTCGGCGCAAGCCAACCCTCTCAGAAATGTTGTCTACACCTACATCAAGGAGTAATAGAAAGCGACTGAAGTATAAATGCCTGAGTCTGCGAGACAAAGCCACATTTTTGGATAGAATTGATCCAGGTGTGTCAATGCGTACAGTGTGTGCAGAGTTTGGAAAATAAATGTAGATTTTTTGTATTTGGGCAGGAGGCACTGCGGAGTACCATTTTACATAATTCGGAATATTGGGTAATTCGGCAAGGCCGGAGTCCCATGTGTCGAATTAACAAGGGATTACTGTATTTAGCTGGATGGACCTTTTTGACCAATTCAAGGAGCTTGTTGTTGAGTGCACAAGATATTGCATGGCTCGCTACGTAGTGTGTTGCTACACAGCGAGCACCTCAGCCGAGACAACAGGAAGCACAATCGCACCTCCGAGAGACACTGACACCACACAGTGCATCATGGGAAACGGGCAACCGCCAAGGCGCGCACTCTCGTTCGCCTGCGCGCGTCTACCGCTCGAGGCAAAGTGCTCGAGATCCGAATGTGTTTGGCGCGTCATTCGTGCTCCCGCCGCTCAGGAAGCTGGGAGCCGTGGACAAGCGTCACACGCCACTGCCCTATTCCGCGCACAGTGCAGTCCGTCTCTCATGTGTCAATCGCGAGAGAGACACACACACACATACGTCTTTGTCTCAAAGTGCGGCAGTGTGGTGAGCGGTAGCGTAGCGGTTAGCGCACCGCACTTGGAGCCTGGAGACACGAGTTCGATTCCTGCTCATGGCCACCACCAGCGATAATTATCTGAACCTGTCGTGTGCCTCACCTAGGTCGACTCAGCCTCAAATGAGTACTTCGTGCAATGTGTTAACATCGCCACTGGGGAGACAAAGGCGGTCGGGCATGGTGCTGGCCACCCTACCCCCTTTGTGTGCCATGCTGGCCTTCATAGGCTATATGGGAGATCTTTGTCCTTGTTGTTATCAAAGTACACCTAACATGGCACAAGCGCCGTACTGACGTCACCGCCACTTAGCGGTTGTTATGTACATGTTATGTACATGTAAGCGTGTATGTGTATACATGTCGAACGTGTGTGTGTACACCTGACTGAGACCAGAATGAACTCTAAATGGGAGAATTAAACTACGGTCATCAAGGAACTTGGTGAGGCGCGGTCATCGGCAAAGCAACGTTGGGAGTTACATAACTAATGTATCAATGTTGAGCTTCTTTTTCACCGTGGCGAGCCATGCGACAATGGGTATTCATTCAAGACTAATTAAGGAATCATTGAACGCACTCATTATCATTATCAGACGAATGCAGAGTAAACGCCGAGAACCGGCCACGCCGATAACCTCAACGCTCGCAAGCGTCGGCTGTGGCCCTAAACGAGCGTGGAAACGAGTGAATAAGTGATGGGACCCAGAGCCGGGGCACCGCGCATGGCTGGGGTCTACGCGCCAACACCAAGCCCCGCGCCGGGCCCGGGGTCAGGCCATGCCGCCGCCACCGGCTGGAATTACAGCGGAGCGGCCGTGCCCCTACGGTGCCCACGGGCCCACCGGCGGAGGAACCGTACATGCTCCCGCCGGGCCCAGCTGGGCCCAGCCGGGCCACCGATAGCAGTGGCACGCGACCGCCCTTCTCCTCTCCGCAGATCGACCGGCGGCGCGTCGCGAGTTATGTAACGAGAGCGAGCGACGGCGGGAACGATGTTCACTCACGAGGGCCGAGGGAGCGGCGCGTGCGCAGGTCGAAAGGAAGTCTGACCGTCACGAGATGCCGGCCTTAGAACAACGGACAGCGAGCGAGGCAGAGATGCAACTCGGCGTCGAGCAACGAGCGGGCTTCAAAAAAGAAAGCGCCCAACAAATACCCGATCGGTGAACCCACCGCCAGCTCTCAGACGCAGAGATCGATTGGCTCAATCAATCGCTGTTGAATCTCTGACAGTACAGCTGAAAGAGTGAAACAGCGAGTTTAAGATATAATTGAACGATTGTTCATCAGTGCAATGAATTGCGCGCAGGGATTCCACAACTTTTCACGAAACTTTCTCCGCCCGGTATGTTTGGAGATTCACCCTGTGATGACTCGGCACCATCAACCTTACGTTTAACCAGTTTCTACACGGATTGGTAGAGTTTGCATTTCGAGACGTGGCCAACGGAGAAAAGATGGGGTGCTAAAATGTTTAACGGTAACAAACATCGCTTACCCGATTTCTCTGAAGTCCTCAAGAAGATCATGTCTGCCGGAACACGCTGATTCTAAACGGGAAAGGCAAAACCACGAAACAACGTGAGGCCTTGTGCTCGCCGCTGCCGAGACGATCCACGCGGCGGCACCAAATCGAGCGTGCCGAGCACAGCGGCCTCAGCGCCAGCGGGCCACGGCATCTCAGTGGGCGAAGGCGCGAATCATCGACCCCGTGTGCGCTGCGCCTGAGCTGGCAGTGGAAATTCCACATTTCCATGTCGGGACCACGTCTGAATAATTTGATATTCGCGCCAGTCTTGCGGCGCAATGTGACCGTCACGACGGCGCAATGCAGTGGTTTCACGGTAGGCGGCGATGTTGCTGTGCGTAACCCCAAATGAGCAATTTTGGTGTATAATTTGATCATTTGGACCATGCCGTGGGCACACAATGGCCTCGTCATTGTGAATTACATCGGTTAACACACCCGCAGTATCACTCGGGGAGGCCTGCCGGGTTCGAACCACGAACCTCTGCAAACAAGCGGCATCCGCGACTGAACTCCCACTACTGCCGAGCTCCCACGTGAAACTTTGCCAGACCGTGAAGACGACGATGATGATGATGACGGTAGAGATAATCTTAACCGTGCTTCATGTCTGCAGCTGTTGCGTGTAAAATATAGCGCAACTGTGGCGGTATTTGTAAAAGTATTTAGAAAACCACGGTGTGGAAAGTACTTGGGAAACACACTTTTTTGTGTGTGAACTGAAATGAAAGAAAATCACTTTTAAAAAATGCGTAGGCCACAAAGTTAGCGCTGCACAAATCGGTTAGCAGGAGTGCCAGCTCACCGCGCGCTATTAAAGCGAACAAATGTAATCCAATTCACGTCAAAAAATGTCAGGACGATTAGAGACATGTAATCAAGCAGGATGGTACAATTGTGCTCGGAGAGCGGAGTCGCGGTCATGAAATATCACAAATAAGCGCGGCGGGGACGTTTATTACAAACTGCGGCGAGTGTGATGGCATTTGTCAATAGCTGTTAGGAAACCCCTAAAGCAAGCGGCAATAATCCATGCGCCTGATAATTCCTGCACATGAAAAAATATAAATAATAATAATCTTGTACCGCGCTAAATTAAATGTCATTCTTGTCGCAGACAGATCATTGGATTTTGATGTGCAAATTATAGCCGAATTCCTTTTATTAATTTTGAAAGCTCCTAAGTGGGATCATTTGAAGTTATTTTCATTTTAATGATTTTTGGTTCTTCCACACGGAGGCCGCGCGTTTTAACGACACGGGCACCACGTGGCGGTGGCTGGCGCCGTCGCCACTGCCGTCTCTCCGCGGCGAGAACTCGCCCGCCCGCCCGCCCGCCCGCCCGCCTACTCGCCCGCCCGCCCATCCACCCCCCCGTCCACCCAACCACACGCCCGCTCATTCGCACCAGGGAGCGAAGAGGTGCGCACGGCACTCACCTTCTCAACGATGATGAGGTCGCCCACTTGAATGTCCGAGCTCTTCACCTTCGCAACACCTGCCGGGCACGCACAGCGCAGTCAGAACACGCACCCTCACTCAGGGGCCGCTCGCCAGGGTCACGCCGGCTCGACCGGACAGGCCAAGCCGAGGGGACCCCCCTCCCCTGTCCCTGCTCACACGAGGAATGGGGTGGCCCTCATTTCTAGAGGCGGGCCCCGAGGACAGAGGTAAGAAAAAATCCCCAATTCAAACGAAAGGGCCCAGTCATCTCCCTATGAGATGACCACTGGTGACTTCACACAAATGTGGTACTTATTTTGCATTGACCTGAACGAGACGATGGGCTGCATAGATTGCCAAACGAGGATTTGGAGCTTGCGACCTTCCAATTACGAGGTGAGGATTATAACGACGCCCCTGGGCGATGAGCTTATCGTAAGTTTCCCATCCTTCCGTGCACACACACACACGCGAGGCGATCACTGACGACCGCAGTAGAGCCACTGTGCATTTCTGAGCTTAGCTCCAGGACAGTGGATGTCACTGCTGACTTCGGGAGACCACCACACACGTGCAGGCTCTTGGACGATGCGGGCGTGAACGTGGTGGGCAGCAGAGGGCAGTGCGACAACAACCATTGCTATACTGTACTTCTACGCTCCTTTCTTTCACCATTAGCGCACTGAACAGCGTGATGAAGCACAGTCAATTAACAACCCGCAACCTGCACGGCATGGGGAGACCCCTCATCCAGCAGTGGATTGATAAAAGAGGCTGTGCGTGTAAAGTGGATGACGAAACACATCCGCAATCCTGGCCCGGTGAGAAATGACACTTCTGGACCAACTGGACATCTGTGAAGAAAAGAGCTTCACAAGCTCATCAGATTCCTCAAGTCCAAAATAAAGATTCTGATTCTGACACGTTTGGGCCCCCGTGCTTGACAGGGCGGGGCACGTGGTGCCGGGCGGGGCACGTGGTGCCGAGCGCGGCGACTCCGGCGGGACAGCACGTGGCCTCTCGCATGAACGAAAACTCGAGGAGAGGAAATGACATCGTCCGTGCATCGTCTACGTAAACAACCACAATCCCCAACAACCTTTCCATCGGCTCCGAACACACGGCTACGTCACGTATATGCACACAGACGAGCGCAATCAATGAATAGCGATCGTCCACGCACCGCGAATCTGATGTAAAGAGCGGCTTAAAATGGCATGATTGTTAAGCTGTATATTACGCACGTGTAAAATGCAGCTAATTAAAAAGTGATGTTGGTTTATCTAAGATAGAGGTCATATTCTTTTAATAATAATTCTGTTGGTAGCTCGGCATTCTTATTAATTTTAAATGCAAAGTGGTTTAATTAATTGGCTTCTTGGCTGATGTGTTTTCCTTGATTAAGATTAGTACTGCTGCTGTACAAACTGAGTGTCCTTTGAGACGAGGCTGCATGAGTAAATATTTACTAATGAAAGGATGACGATGACAATGATGATGACGATTCGATAAACCTCTTTTCACGACCGCAACAACGATGCCTAGCTGTGTCGTTCTGCCGCATCAGTCCAAAGTTGATGAGGCCATCAAGTCCATTGCCAGTAATTCCAGCACACGTAAACATCACTTCCTTCCTTCTGCCAGATCCTGCCAGTTGTTGCACACTCGGTATTTGACCTCTTGAAGTCCGCCCTTCGAGTTTCCCACCATCTGACTTGAGGTCTCTGCCCTCTGAGTGCCTCTCCAATACCAGTCTCGGTCACCTGCCCTCCTCCTCCACTCAGCACCCGTGTCCCACCCATCGTGACCTCCTCCTCTTCCCGATTACATCGACAGTGCTTTAATGCTGAGATTGTAAAGCTAAAATGAGAGTTGAATTGAGCAAATGTCCAATGTGTGGACCACGGGTTCAGTGTAGCCATTGGTGGTGACACACGAGGGCCTGGTCCACCGTTTGGGCTGGGAGCCTAGGAGCTGGAGAACCTGGAAAGCTGGAAATCTGGGAGATGGGGAGCCGGGGAACCTAGGGGCTGGGGAGACTTGGAGCCTGGGGATCTGGGAGCCAGGGAGCCGTAGACTCGAGAGCCAGGGAACCGGGGACTCTGAGCCAGGGCCTGGTAACACTAGCTCGAGCTATCGGAGCCATTCACCCTCCTCTGTGAGAATCCAAACCTTAAGTGCACGTCAGCTGCTTTAGACTTTCAATTTAAATAAAATGTCATCAATTTCCTATGAATAAATATATGCTATATATCAGTTTTTATGGTTGAAAGGAATAATTTTAACTGCGCTATCAGAGGATTTTCTTGTTAATTAGCCTTTGTAAAAATTTATAACAAATAATGAAAATTTTGCAAGATTCGGTGATTCCGCAAACCCTTCCCACAGACCGGAGGTCCATTATTATATTAACACCTGTATCTCACCGCGGTGCTACACGCTCTGCCCGCGGCGGCCGCGGGACTGATGACACCGCACCTCCTGGTGGTCACGGTGGTGGTGGGGGACACACTCGGCGGAGATTAAAATCCCACGGCGACGCGAGGCCGCCGGTGAAACGCGACGGCGGCAACGTCGCCACGTTCCCGGGCGTTCAGAGTGAAAACGTGGGCACTTTCACTTCCCTCATTCGTCGTCACCATTACGCTCGCTCGAAGCTCATCAAGCCCGGCTTTGATCCCTGGGTTTGATCTTCCACGAAGCTCACGGTCCACCCTAAGCCGCATCCACTGCACAAACCATGGCAGTAGATGCGGATACTTGATGCACAAATGGAAAATTCTACACTCTCCAGCGGTGTGTAGCAGGCCTCTTTCCCCATCTTTTACGCCCCACCCCTTCTCTAAAATGGTTTAGTCGCGTTGGGATTGCGTTCCGCGAAATGTTGTGGCTTTGCTCTCCTGCACACCGGTGTGCTGTACTAGTGAAAAATTGGCACGTTCTGTTTACGTGACAACCCTTACGAGTTGGCTGTATGGGGTGGTGGCGGGTTTAACGACACATTTCTATATTTATGCGATCTAACCCAAAAACACCTGCATTATGGATGTCACCTGGTTGAGTGAGCTATGCAACGTGCTGTAAGGGGCGTGCACTTTTGTCGCGAATAAAAAAAAAACTCTCCAGTAGTGTGCTAATGCGGGTCACTCATAACAGACCGTAACAATGATTCACAAATACGGCGATTAACAATCCGTTGCTCCTGGCGCGGTTGTCTGGGCTTGAGCACCTGAATGTCACATTGTAGTCGTTGCTCTGCATCAACATCAGCGGCCGTACGACAGGAAGAAGATTCCGCTGGGTTACCCAGGAAAACCTCGCCGAGTCTCAAGACTCCATCAGGACGGTCTTGCCAAGTTTTCGCAGTAGGGGACCCGTTGTCTATTGTTCATTCTTCCCTTAAAGCCCTGACTGATTATCCCCCGCTCACCCAAACTCCCCTTCCCATTCACCGACTCCGTCCCTCTTCCCAACTTCCCCTACCCATTCATCACACTCGCTCATAATCATCATCATCATCAACCACTCACTGTCACTCTCATCATCATCGTTCCTCATATTCGTCATGCGCTACCATCCTTCTCAACATCTCATCTCACCACGCTCTTCTCGTCTACAAATAGCAAATCCTTTGTTCAGCACTTTGAGCAAGGCGCTTTCTGAATTAAAATAATAAGACAAGATGCTGCTGCTGCTGTGTGTGTGTTATCCCAATTATTGAGTAACTTGCTGGTGAATGTTTCAGCAATAAGAATGTATTGGCCAATACCGTGTTTTTTTCCCCATTAGCTATGCGAGGAAAACGGAGAACCGGGTGTAAACGGATGCAGAACAGGGGGAGAGAGAGAGAGAGCGCACGGATTCTACGCAAGGAAGGAGCCCACATCGGGGAATCGAACCCTTTGCCGCGAGACACTAGTGCTACCGCAGCGCCGCCCTGCCACCCGGCGTTAAGTGGCATATAAAAAAAACCCCAGGACGGCAGAAGAGGCCGCGCGTCACGCCCCCCCGCCCCCCCCCCCGCCCCCCCCCGATCTCGCGACGTCACGGACGCGGGCGGAGCGCGGCCGTGCCGGGAGCAGGGGCTTCGTTCTAAATAAATAAATAAATATCGGCCTGCACCTAATGCCATTAGTCACAGTGACATAGGGACACGCGCCTTTCATATGCAAAGCCCGACAATTAAATTTTCACCAGCCAGCCGCGACATCATCAGACTTTAATGAAATCGCGTGGCTATCGGATGCGATGTGGTGGTTACCCCTGCGCAGGGGGCGGGGTGGGGGGGGGTAATGGAAGGATGATTCCGGTATCGTGATATCCCCGCGGCCACGCGGTGTCTAGATGCCAAGAGACGTCTGCGGCAGGTCTGACGTTCCTCCACTCGGGCTTTGTCCCGGGCGAGGCGGCGACAATGCGGCGCGGCCCGCCGGGCGAGGATTCGCAGGGTCTCGTTTCCACGAGCGTGCGGACGCGTTTCGGTGACGGTGATCACCGGTGGCCTGCGCTGGATCCAAGGCGGGCGGCGGGGGTGGGGGGGTGAGGGGAACGGGGGCAGCGATCGTCCCCATCACTATCTTGGAGACCCAGAAACTTGATGCAGTCTTTAACAAAAAAATGACCTTACTATTAATGCAGGGGGCGGTTTAAAAAGGTTGACATTTCACGACCCCCCCCAGGGAGGTTTGTCGAACTGCGATGACGATGATGAAAGTGGCACAGTCGCGTACTCACCGCGGCACAGTATCGAAAATGTGTCCCAAGTGTCACCGACTACAGGGTGGGCAGTGATTACATGCGTGCCTTACAGCAAGAAGTGCATAGGTTCCATTCCCGACTCGGGTGACCATCTGTGTGGCTTTTGTATGTTCTCCCCCCTGTCCTGCATGGGTGTCCTCTGGGTTCTGCAGTTTCCTGCCATTGCTGAGAAGATCATAAAATGTCTCTGCAATTGGGCAAAACATCCCAATGCTTAAAATGACCTACAAATTACTCAACTAGGATTACACAGCAGCAGCAGCAACATCGACCCCTCCTGCAAAAACTTGATGGGACCCTCCTGGAAATGGGTCTTGAGACTCGGTGAGACATTACTGGGTGAACAAGCGGAAACATAAAACATAACAGCGAACCAACGGCAGCGTAAATCCCGGTGTCCAGAGCAAACTTTGCACGCAATATTCGTGCAGCGCTACTTTAAACACGTGCACATATCGCGCGTGATTTACGTCATCATGAAGTCAAACGTGCAGTGTGGCTTATCAACCACGGGCAACAAAACCTCCCCTCTCGCTCCACCGAGAAATGTTGAGAGTGAACGTGCATATCACGCCCGTGCGTGGCGCTGGCGCGTGCGTGGCGCTGGCGCGTGCGTGGCGCTGGCGCGTGCGTGGCGCTGGCGCGTGCGTGGCGCGGATGCCCACCTCGTATGGTGAGCTTGCTGTAGAGCTGCGAGTTCATCTCCTTGTCTCTCTGGAACCTGCGCAACTCGTCCAGGGCCTCGCGGAACATGGTGACGGCCAGCACGAAGCCCTGCGCAGTGCGGGTGGGGGGAGTGGGGTCCGCGCGGGTATCGATCAGAGCGGCGACGGGCGCGCGGATAAATCTCACCGTCCCCCGAAGGGCAATCTGTCGGCGGCGCTCTCTGAGCTGCCCCACGAGCGGCGTGAGTGATCGCGGGCAATTTTACTCCAAGACTAATTAAACAACAAAGCGGGCGATCATCAGCCTAAACAGTCGCGGTGGCTTTTGTATGAGGACGATTAATGGCCGAGGAAAGGCCCCTTTCCCTCGCTCCCCGAACTGAACGCGGCGGTGGTGGCGGGGGTGGCGGCGGCGGCGATGGTGGCGGTGGAAGCGCAGAGTTATCGACGTGATGAATGGCGCGGGCTATGGGCTCGTCACACTCGCACACACGTGTAGGTCGACTCAGCCTCAGTGGAGTTCCTAGTGCTTTGTGTAAAACCATTGCCACTGGGAAGACAAAGGCGGCCGGACGTGGTGTTGGCCACTCACCCCCCTGTGTGCAGTGCCGGCTTTCATAAGTGCTTGCTAACAGCACTTGCCCCAACAGTCTCTTAAGGCTGTATGGGGGATCTTTGTCTTTGTGTGAACTGAGACTCGCCCACGCACACGGAGTGAGACATTTTATGACGTGTGACAATTAAGTCGATTTCCCCCTCCACAAACGAGAAGGGGGCAGCTCCCATCTCTGAAGTTATGAAGACCCTCACCCATGCCTTCATCATCCAACTCGTTTACTGCCACTCCCTGCTCTACAGCCTACCCAAGTCCCTCCCTCTCAAAACTCCCAATGATCCAGGGTGCCACAAGAGCCCAGACCCACACCCATAGCCCGAGGCGACACCACCGCAACCTTCCGATACCTCCACGAGCTCCCAACCGAATCCCACGGTACCTACACGATCCGGCGCAACATCTCAAGACATCCTCCACAGACTCGCCCCTGCTTACATCCCGCATCCGATCTCACCGTGTTGCCCATACCTTGCTCTTCGCTACAGCAATCAAACGCGTCTCTTGAAACCCTCTGTCAACAACCTCCACTCCTTCTCTGACGGTGCCAAACAGGGTCTGGAACTCCCTCCCCCCCAGCTGCCAACTCCCTGCCCCTAATCAAATCCAGGCTCAAGACCTTCCACTTATCGTCTGCTGAAGACTGTCTCCTACACATTCAGTGTCTTCATTTGCACCTCAGCTTAAATGTCTACACACACACACCTCTCCCCGTATCCGCTGTCTCTGGGATAGGCACGTGCCGCTGCTTTTGAACATCAACAGCCGCGCCTCGAATTTGCACTCAGAATCATCAGCATCTTCATTTAGACGGGAGGAACCCGACGAGCCACGAAGCTCTTTATCACAGATGCCCAGTATGGGCGGGTCGGCGAGCAGCGACGCGCGGCGGCGCCCGCGGGCTTCCGGAGCGTCGTCAATTCTCCCCACCCGAGGTCGCGATTCTATTCAGCGACGTGGCGTTTTACCAACGCAGCGAAAGGTGGCGTCTCCGGCGGCCGGAGGGCTAACTTACAGCGATTGCAAGCGGCATAATAAATGGGAAAAAAATGGAATAGGGAAAAAAAACGGTTTGATGTAACATGATATTGGGCAACACAATTTGAGGAGTGCATTCGTGAGCTTGAGAATCAAAATTTGCAGATGTATCGGTGCCTTTGTGCCCATTCATAATGCATGAAGGGGCACAACGACTAAGATCCCCCATATAGCTATACCGGCTGTTGGGGCAAGTGCTGTCACCGAGCACCTGCGAAGGCGGTGCGCTCATACGCACTGCAGCAGGTATTAATTTAAGGCCGAGTCGACCTAGGGAAGGTCCGGGCGGGACCACGTTCAGATATACGTCACCCATGTTGGCCATGGGTGGCGAATGGAACTCTGGTCGTCGCCACCGCCCCAAGCGCCCGCGCTCACGACGTTCGCTCGGCCGCCACGTACCAGCGGCGCCCAGTAGGTGTAGAGGTACCCGATCTTCAGCTCGGGCACGAATTGCGAGCATGCCACCACGAGGAAGTACAGGTTGAGGAAGAACTTGAACTGCTGGTACAACACCTGCACGGCAACGCCAACGCGGGCACGCAAATATTAACGCAGTGCATCAAAATCCGGCGGAGCGGGCGTCAACGCAGCCGAAGCGAGCGAGGCGGAGCCTGGGGACGATTCCTCCGTCATTGAGCTGCACATCAAGAGAACGGTCTGTCAGCCGGCAATCGTAAACGGAGTGGGGGGGGGGGGGTGGGGGGCATGGAGGAGCTGGGCTGCCTCGGTTTTAAAACGGCTCGGATGCGATCTCAGCGAACGAGGCATCCGGGGGCCGCTCAGCGCAAGCGTTCCCGCGGTCGGGGGCAGTGTGACCGGCAAGCATTTAATTTCTTTACTTTTTATCAATAACGGGCGAAATGCCCCCGTGGGGGACGCGGGCGAGGGTGTGCGCGTGGTATGAAATATCTTTCTCTCTCGTGCGCGCGTGCGTGCGCGTGCGTGCGCGTGCATGCGTGTGTTTAGACGGAACGAGCTGAATGGGATGACGGAACAGGTCTCTGCCCCGCGTGGCCGTTGCTCGTTGCGAGCGGCGTCTTCAATGGAGGACGGCGCGTAGGCACCCGTTAAAATCCCCGCAACCTGCTGTCATTTTTCAGGTGTATTATTTCACTGTCGCGCGCACGCTAAACGTCCCGTGAAATCAGCCGCAGAGTGCGGGTCGCTCCGTACCACGCTCAAAGTTACAGTCAAAATTCAAAGTGGGACGCACTTCAAGCAGCTAAAGTACGTACGTTGAACTTCTTTCGCCGCCGTGCGGAGCCAACCGTGCTCATCGGAGTTGTGAAACATTAGAACGTGATTCTGGTCATCGCGCTATTACTGGGGACAACGAATCTCACGGGGCTCTCACCCTAAAGGACGCGAGAAACCTGCAGCACGCGGCCCACGAGCGCTGCCGTTTGGGCCACCACAGCCGAGCTGTTGTGAGACCTTGCGCTCGTAAGTGGGCGAAGGGCCCTGTGCGACAGGCAGCCCCTCCCACAAGCGAGGGCGGCTTTGTGTGTTAGTTTGTGGTCCATCCCCCACACCACCGATTAGCACGGTTGGCTACATACGGTGCGAGAGAACTTGAACGTACAGTAGAGCCCCACTCAACGACGGTAATTGGTTTCACGAAACCGGTTGTTAAGCGACGTGGTCGTTAACCGAGTAAGGGAAATACACGTTAAAGGCGTAATTCGTTTCGATAGCATCGAAAGTCACCCTTTTTCACCCGAAAAACGTACTTCATAATATTTAAACCACGGATGTTAATACATAAATATATTAACAACATTATAAACACATAATATTAAAAGACACATGGTTAATCGATGCATTCATTCATATTTACTGTACCTACAACAGCCCGTCGTTAAAAGGGGAATGGTCGGTAAGCGAACAACATTGGGCTCTATGGAGGGGTCCTTCTTAACACCACTATACACTACACTATACACTACACTACTATATTCTTGGTTCTTTCGGTAAAGCCACGTGGATAGAAAATAAAATAAAAATTAAACAAAATTACAATTACAAATAAAATAAAAATAAGAGCAGGCAACCCACGACGTTTCGATTGCACCACAAGCGCTTGTGTGTCTCGGGAGCCGTCGGCGTTGGTTTCCACTGCAAAAGCCGAGCCGGACCGCTGACGTCAAAATCCGCACATTCGCGCTCGCTCATTGCGTGGATTGAGTTGTGCGGCATGCGTTTGTACGGCCAGCGGTGGTAAAGCATTTTCATTCGGCCATTGCACACCGCTGATAACGCACTCCGCAAAGTTGTATTCGACGGAACAATCTAAAATTGTACAAGCACGGTGCATTTTTAAATGATGTACGTGAATCGATAGAGGGCGGATTATTTATTTTTGTCAATTTATACCACAATCATGAGGGCGGCCCCGGGGCAAGTTCAATACTGGGCCAATAGCGGTGAAAACACAAGGGTAGCGTTGTTAGTGGCGCCACTGAGTATGTGCGTGCGTGCGTGCGCGCGTGCGTGACGTACCCCCGGCACGAAGGTGAACACGTTGTACTTCTGGTTCTTGATGGCGTTGCGTGGGTATTTCTCCTCGCCCTTCTCGGGGTGGCCCAGCCACACGGTGCGCGGCTTGAGCTCCTTGTGCCGCCGGCACAGGCAGCACAGGCTGTCGCAGCAGCTGCGCGTGCCCGGCCACACCGCGCAATCGTTTGGCACGCACAGCACACAGCACAGCGCCGCACAGCGCCGCGCGGCACGACGTCGCAGGCGGGGTGCCGCGTCGTGGGATACGGCACCACGCCGGGAAGCAGGCGGCAGGACACACCAAGAGCAACGGGCACGGAGAGCAGCACACCATACAGGACACCGCCACACAGAACAACACCCCGTGCAGGACACCACGCAGAACAGCACACAGTACAGCACACAGTATAGGAGACCATGCAGGACGCCGCACCATATAGGGTACCGTGCAGGACACCATGCAGGACACCCCACCACACAGGACGCCAAGCAGGACAGCACACCGTGCAAGAACACCATTGAGGACAGCACACCATACAGGACGCCACACGATACAGGACACCATGCAGGACACGACACCATACAGAGCAGCACACAGGACAGGACATCACAGCCCATGGAACACCACAACATGCAGGACACAACACCATGCAGGGCGAAATACCATGCAGGAAACCACACGAGCAGACACAAGAATGCACAGACACCATGCCACACATCATCATCCATCACCACCGCACGCAGTTCACGCACACAAACACACGCACGCGCGCACACAGAAAAGAGAACCCAGAAGCATACGCACCATCAGTAAACGCTCAAGCTCAGCAGCAAAACATTTCAAAATCCTCAAGTCAATGCGAGACGGATATTCACGGCACGCTCACGCGCAAAGGCGCCAAGGGTCAGAAGGTGACCTAAACTACAGGGCAGTGGGCAGAGGCAAGGCCAGAGAGACAGTCGCGGCACTATGAACCAGGGGCCGCAGCCCGGCCAGAGCGAGAGAGCAACGCGGCTGAAAAGGCATCGCCAGGTGAGCAGCAGAATAGAGTGCGGAGAGAAATCTGTCAAACGGTCGCCGTTGCCGCGAGAGGCCGCATTTATAAATGACTGGAAACCCCGCGAGTCTGGACCTCTAGGATGACGGTCGCTGTGACTGTCTCCTAAGGGCCACCTGCACGTCGCTCGCTCTGCATCGCCAAGCTCGCTGCGGCCGTGTCTGGGTTGGCGATGCTCGTTCACACGGTGTCCAGAAACGTTCTTTATCAAGACTGTCACTCCGCTTGTTCACCCAGAATAGCCTCGTCAAGTCTCAAGACTAATTTTCAAGAGGGTCCTGCCAAGTTTGGTAAGTGGGGGGGGGGGGGAGAGGGGGTGATACCGCTGCCGTGTGTAATCCCAATGGAATAATTTGCAGGTCATTTTCAAATCTGGTAAAAATGTTGACTATGATGCCAGCACGCAATGGCCGACGCTCCTTGCCAATGACGTCACGGCATCTTTAACGTCCACTAGGAAGTGACGGGTATTTTATAGTTAGTCCTAACCAGGGTGGCCTGCCGGCTTCGAACCACGAACCATTACCAGTTGAATATGAATGTTTGGCCATTACCAGTTACACTCTAGTTTTTTGTTGTTTATAGGTATCTCATCCAATGTCGCATCATCATAATTATCACGCTAGCGCTATAGGATGACACGCACAGCGGGCAGTGCGAGGATTGCATCGTTCGGAGGGAGAGGTCCGACGTTCACCGCCATCGCTCGGCTGTGATCCTCGTTTCGATCGCTTGCGGCGTGGCGCCGGTGAAGATCGCTCACCGTTTCAGGTCGAGCGAAACTCAAGCACGCAAGGGGACACGTGTGCAAACATTTGAACCGTGCGGCTAGAACTTGTGCCTCTGTGCAAGTCTTCGAGAATGGACGACGCCTTTATGGACACCCTGTAAATACGAACGGGAGGCGATTGCTCTCGATGTCGTGGAATCAATGCCAATGAAGTTTAACGCCGCCGATCGTTGCGGAATCGATGGCCTGCGAAGCGAACGCCGATCCATTCCGGAGCCGATTGCAAGGAAGCGGTAACGACGCGCGCTTCCAAATTAACGTCAGCGATCATCACTGATTACACCGTTCCCTCCATTTAAGGAATTGATCAAAGTGAGAGAGAGAGAGAGAACGGATAACATTTTCCGCAGGATCATTTGCGCAAAAATGAGGGAGCGGACCGGGCAGCGCTGCAGCAGGTGGCTCGGAGCTCTCCGGGAGATCGGGAGACGCATCTCAGTGGCAAGGGCTGGCCTGCCCAGAGGGGAGGTGGGAGGGCAGGCCTGCTCAGAGAGAGGGGTGGGAGGGCAGGCATGCCCAGAGGAGGTGCGGGCGGGAGGGCAGGCCTGCCCAAAGGGGAGGTGGGAGGGCAAAAGGGTCAGGGGTCAGAGCTGTTAGGAGGAACTGCTGGTTGGGATTATAGCTGCCGTGTCGTTTAGGGAACAGTCGAATTAGTACCGTGTTTTTTATGGTACTGCTTTGTGCTGTTCACGGTTTGTGTTGGTGCTGTTATGATGATGATAACAAATAATCGTGTCGGTGTGGTCCGGTGTGTTGTTATGATAATAGGTAGAGGATGGTGCTGTTTATGGTTAGTGTTGGTCTTCCTCTTTCATACGGATGATACAGATGCAGAGCAACAACTCCAATTTGACATTCCGGGGGTCAAGTCAGACAACGTCGTCAGGAGCAGCGGAGTGTATCGCTGCGATGTCTCCGTTAGCGTTGGTCCTCTGTATCGGTACAACAACGAGGGTTGGTGGCGCTGCTGCGGCTGGCTTTGTGGCGTGGGGCATCACTGACCGAAGCAGGAGGATTTCTCCGCAACTCTTGACTGTCCGCCTGATGATGCTAGCTGTAATTACTGGCGAAACGTCCTACTCGAGCTGTAAATGTTGTGCCTTTACTCTCCAACGCATCGGTGTGCTTAACTAGTAACGAATTGACACGTTTGGTCTACGTGACAAACCTTACCATTTATATTCACGACACATTTATATTTACGCAATCTCACCCAAAAAAGGCTCTGTTATGGAGGCATCACTGCTATGCTGGCTGCTATGCTGGCTATGTTTGATCTCCTATTTGCATGAGTAACGCTGTTTGGCTAATGTTAGACTGCAGTTACCACTGCGATGCCATTACCCGGCCAGATAACGCTCGATTGTGCACAGTGCGCGCAATAAACAAGCGGAAGGTTGTGTTGAGTTCACATCCACACAGGTGGCTAACTCAGCTCATCTCACTTCCGGGAATGAATAAATGAGCATCAATTTGTGGGAAGTTAACCGCTGTAATCTCACGTGTAGACTGGCCACTGCCACAGGAATGTGGAGTTTAACGCGTAGGCTTTCGCTACCAATGTTATCCATAAGAGGTTTTCTTTTTTGGGCTAGATCACGCAAATATTTAATGTGTCGTTAAACTCACCACCAGTCAGGTTTTTCACCGAACAAAACATACAAATTATTTTTTTATTTAAACCTTTCGTTACTGCTCGGATTCATATTCTTGGTTCTTTCGGTAAAGTCACGTAGAAGGGAAACAATAAAATCATAAAAAATATACATTTATATTAATATATTATAAATATATTTCTATTATTTTATTGTTTCCCTTCTACGTGACTTTACCGAAAGAACCAAGAATATACATACCAATTAGTTACTAGTTCAGCACACCGATGCGTCGGAGTTTAAACCCACCACAACATTTACAATTCGGGTGCCGTGATGTTTTCGCCAGTAATTACAACCGGCCGATCAGGCGGACAGCCAGAGTTGTAGAGAAATCCTCCTGCTGTTTTGGTTTTAAGTAGAGGGGGCAATTGCGGTGTCGTTACCGTGAGCCAATCAGGTGCGACGACCAGAGAGGGGGGGCTTAATGTAGTCATATCAATAATCTATTTATTAGTTGGGTTATTCACAGTTAATCAACATACCTAATGTATGCACATTGTGTACGTACATTACCAATTATGTACATTACCAAAAGGAATATGGATTTCGACAAAATCTCACGCTCATTTTAAAAGTGAGAGACTTTAACTGCCTGCACCTGTAGCCCTGGTTGTGTACCGGAACTGACTGTCTCGATTGACCCTTGCCTGCCTGTTGACAAAGAGTCTGATTAAAGGTTACAGATTGGGTGGGTTTTTGTTGGGTTAGCAACTCAAGTTTGGGCGAGTGCTTGGGTACGTGGGTGAGAGTGTACGGGTGAATGGGCAAGTGTTTGGGTGAATGAGTGTTTGTGTGAGAGTCGGTGAGCGGCTTAATGTTTCAGGTGAATAAGTGAATGTTGTTGAGTGAGTGAGTGAAATATAATTGGGGTTGGGTTAGCCTCAAGGGTAGAGATGACTGGTAACTGATTGGACTGGGCATGATGATTAGAATACAGGTGTGAGTTCATACTGAGTGCGCATTTGGATTCACGTTAACTGCTGGGTTTCAGGATCATCTGTGAAAAAGAGCTTTATAGCTCATCGGATTCCTCCAGTATAAACACGTATGTGTTCATTTGTAGGGTCAGGGTGTTCATGATTACTTACTGAGATCAGGACTTCTGGTAGCGCGTCGATTACTGCACGTTAGACCATTAGCGCTCATGTCTGTGCCGAGATGAGCGTGTGGCTAATGTTAAGAGCCGCCGAGACTCAAGTGCGAGCTACTGTACGAGAGCCAGCCGCACGTGGAGAGTCGCCAAGTGTTACGGTTGCTTGATCATGAGCGCTTGGCATGGGATTAAGGTGAGAATTCGCATAACTGCTCGTGTCAATATCGGCACTGTTGTTAGTGACGTTCGTTTTCGTGCTGTTATGAATACGATCACGATTTGCACTGGCGCATGGGTAAGTGCTAAGTGCTGTAACGCGGATGGCCATACGCAACTGTTATTACATGGGACACGGCCGTCATGACTGCTGCGCTGAACGAAGACCAGAGTCTGCGAATTATTGCAGCGGCATTCGCTGTGAAAGCGTTTTGTGCGCGAGCGTCAGCCTCTTTGCTCGATGATCACAGCGCAGGGCCGACGCGGAGTTCCGCGTCGGCTTAAACGCGTCCACGGGGGGGGGGGGGGGGGGTAAAGAGGGGAAGAAAACTGCAGAGAGCAGACGCGCTGGCGGAACACAGCCTCGTCAACAAGGCCGTCTCGCAGGCGGCGTGGCAGCGGCGGCGGAGAGGGAAGACGAAAACGGAGAGCGACAGAGGGAAAGCTCCTCCAACTCAGCAGCGAGCGGAGACGGTGCGCGCGGGCGACAGGTGCGCCGTCACAGGTGAGTTCGCAGGAAAACACCGAGGAGTACTGCTCCAGCCGTCCCGGACGACCCGCGATAGACAGCTCTACATCGATTAACTGCACGAGTACCCTTTCTGAATTTAACGTGGGAAATACATCTTTTGAGCGTGACTCATTTTATGCCTTTATTACCGCACACTGGTTTTCTCAATCTCGGCGATGACCCAACTGTTGGGCCGACCTGCCACGTTTAGTGTCTGAGAGTGGCAGAACCGCATTGCGGTAATTCCTTCGCACCGAGCGAAGATGCCAAACACACACTCGCGCCGTGCCTGCCCGGGGGGCCCCCCCACGGCCTCGGCGTAGCCGCGCAGCAGCAGCCGCCGCCTCCGCCTGCTCCGCACGCTCTCTGCCTACGCGGAAGTCCAACTCCCGGCCACGCTCCCACGAAAGAAGAAAGATTTTGGGTCGGCTCGGCGACGCGGGCCCTCTCGGGTGCCGCGGCGGAGGCTGCGTTTGTGTCGTGCGCGTCTTTGGGAGCTCAAGCGCGGCCACCGGAGGCACCGCCTGGCCCCCCCACCCACCCCACTCCCCCTACCCCCCCGCGCCGGCGCGGACGCCGGTGCTGAAACGTGGCGCGTGCCAGCGCCTCGTTACTTACTTGCCCATGGCCGAACAGTGCGAGCGGGAGAGGGCGGCCGCGAATGGCGAGCGCGGCAGCGGAGGAGTCGCAGTCGCGTGCGCACGGAGAGGGGGGGGGGGGCGGCGGCGTGTGTCGATAGCGCGGCGCCCTGCCCTCTTCACTGTACGCGCAGGGGGGGCTGACACGGGGCTCTCCGAGCAAACAGCCGTGACGCAACGAGGCCGTGCTGCGCCCTACAGTGCCTCCCTCCGCGCCCAACTCATTAGACAGGTGAGTTGTCACACAGGTGTGTTGTCACACAGGTGAGTTGTCACACAGGTGAGTTGTCACACAGGTGAGTTGTCACACAGGTGAGTTGTCACACAGGTGTGTTGTCACACAGGTGAGTTGTCACACAGGTGAGTTGTCACACAGGTGTGTTGTCACACAGGTGTGTTGTCACACAGGTGTGTTGTCACACAGGTGTGTTGTCACACAGGTGTGTTGTCACACAGGTGAGTTGTCACACAGGTGAGTTGTCACACAGGTGTGTTGTCACACAGGTGTGTTGTCACACAGGTGAGTTGTCACACAGGTGTGTTGTCACACAGGTGTGTTGTCACACAGGTGTGTTGTCACACAGGTGTGTTGTCACACAGGTGTGTTGTCACACAGGTGTGTTGTCACACAGGTGAGTTGTCACACAGGTGTGTTGTCACACAGGTGTGTTGTCACACAGGTGCCTCGCCTGCGTGCCGAGGGAGAGCTGGGGGAGGGAGTGGTGCCGGTGCGAGGGGAGGAGCGCTGCGCTGAAACCTGACGGCTGCCTCGGAGGGATTCTCAAACTTGGCCGTGACGGCGGCACACTCGGCGTGCTACTCTTGAGGGAAATGCCACGGGCTCTTTAACGCCCACTTTTCAACGGAGTGGCGGTTCTGGCAATGGCGCCCTTTAAAAAATGGCCCGACAGGTGGGAAGTCGAAACGTCTGTCCTCGTGCGAACTAACGCACAACGTTACCGAACGCACACGTTGTCAACTCGACTCTACCAATCTGCCTCCTAGACACCCCTGGACGAGCCGCACGCGGAGACGGACGTGCGTTGACGAAACACGACACGTGTCAGTTTACAGGCTGACAAAGGGGCACAGGTAATCAAAGGTAACGACGACGAGTAGCGAAAGCGACAGGCATGGAGAGACGAACAGAATTAGGCACGAGGATGAACCTATGCACGTGTGGCGCGGAGAGACGTATGAAGTCCGTCATACAAATGGGATGAGAGATAATACACACGCAACATTCATTACGTTACCAACGTACATTCGTGCCACAACACCGAAAATGACATTCCTATTTTGTACAAACAACAGACTGCGGGGGGGAGAGCTGTGAGCGAGTACAGTTCCCATGAACGCCAGCAGTTGCATGCAAAGGGTTCGGGGTCGTGCAGCCAACAAACACAACGCTGCAAATGACCTCCTGTGACACAACTGATTAATTCCAGGCTAAGTCAACCTAGAGGAAACAATGGGCAGCTGCAATTAAACCCAGGCTACCAGAACTCACTAACCACTAACCACCGGTGGTTTACCGTCTGCCCGTGCACACGAGCTGCACACAGACGAGACAGGGCCCACGGTAAAACCGGTGCGGTCAAACTGAGCCGGCAATACCGAGATCCTGGGTACGAATCCGGGATCCGGCCACCCGGTTTTAAACCAGGCCCCTTTCCACCGCTCAGGCTGCACTCCCACCAACTCACGACAAAGTCCCCCTGTGCTCCCGTGTGAGCTAGGAGACACTCCTAGCTCACTCGACAGCAACTGTACAGATTCATAATTTGTTTATTTTCGGTTATATGGTGTGTAGCAATCATGTCAATGTTAGAACTACAACGACCCACCATCACCTGACAAGAGCCCATCAAAGAAAGTTGTCACATGGGCAAGGATGCCAATTGCTTTCGGTTTTCAGAAGTAGTTCTGTGATATATATGACTGCGGGCCGTTCTCTTCCATGGTGTCCGAATGGACACTTCAGCTCACGACGTGACGACGAGAGCACAACTGAAATAACACTTGGAAAAAATTCTATACTTTTGTAAGCTGAGCAGAGAAGTCGTGTGTATTTGCATGGCACGAGTGTTTGCACTCGCAGACATCAGCATCGTTCAGCCATCGCTGGGGGCAGAGGAAAAGCGACTTTACTCTGGCACGTGACACGAGAAGGCGGCCAAACGTGCAATCGCTCTGAACACTTCGGTTCGTTTTAAAATCCGGGCGGCTGATATTCGGACTGCGAGTCATGTGAAAATGTAACTTGGGACTGAACTAAAATGTGGTGACAGGGGTCCAGGTGTTACTCCACGCTCCCGACGGTCGGACTTCCTGCATGGCGTGGGCCGCGACGGCAGGGAACCGCTGGAGCGCTGCCAACGCCAAAGTGGACATTAAGCACCCCCTGACACGTTTCTCATTGAGAAATGACAACGCATTTCCAACGGGCTCCGAAAAGCTTAAATAAAAGAACGACAGTACTTTTCTATATTGACATGCTACAATAGGGACTTGTGTGACTTCGCAAGGGCCAGACATTGATTTGGAAAAGACCTGCGAATGAGTAGTAACAGAAATAAGCGCGTGCACTGCACGTTACTTAGTTTTGTTTTTTCCCAAAAGGAGGATTAGCCCTGGTGGGATCTGACCAAGTCAAATAAATAATCGTGATACATAATTGATGACGTGCCGGGGCCTCTATCCCTCGCTACAGAGAGTGTACGTATAAGCAATCGGGGCCATACATGACAACGACACAAAACACACACACACACAGACACACACACGCACAGACACACACACACGTACCGCATCAGCAACGCAGCGGCCGGTTTCAGAAGGGACACTCTCTAACGCACAGGGCCGCCCCCCCGTGACGCTAATCCGGCGGCGAGGTGCTCGTCTAGCGAGCTGCCTGCACTGCTGTCACCGGCGTGACAGCAGCGTAGCCCAAAACACTTCCCAAGCGAGCACCGCCCTTCATTTCTACGACGGGGGCGTTTAGCGTAAGAAGCGATTCACTCGAGGAAGTGCAAAGGGGCCGTCCATAAATGACGTCACGCACCTAGGGGGGGGGGGGTCAGACATTTATGACGATGTGTGACGAGGGGGGGGGGGGGTTAAGAAATGTGACGTCACATCAAAATGCGCAACTTTAAATAAATACAGACAAAACGTTCTACTTTATTAAATAGACTTTTTAATACATTTTTCTCCGACATCAGAGTGCAGCGCCACATTAAATACGCACTACAATGACAACAGTTTAAAGCAATTTGAAGCATGTTTTATATATTTTTTGGGGGGGGGGGGCCTGACTTTTTGTGACGCCGTGTGACGAGGGGGGGGGTCAAAAACCGCCCAAAATCGCGTGACGTCATTTATGGACGGCCCCAAAGCGAAGCGGAGGCTGTGGCGGAACTCGCGAAGGCGACAGGGAAGAGGAGCAAAGCCAAGGTGATGCGGGGCTCTTGCCGTCGAGACAGGCGAGAGAGAGGGGGGGCAGCGCTTGAGCCTCGCTTACTCACATTTGCTTACGCACACACCTCCCAAGCACATGTGCAAATACACTGTGAACTGCGTGTGTGTGTGTATGTGTGTGTGCGCGCGGTGTGGCAGTTACATTTAGGCTCAAGCACATTAGACTGCGCGCCACCTGCATTTGCGGCCGGGAGGCTTTCTCTCCGCTACGATGGGCTGCTTTCCACCGCCGCGGCTTTCAGAGACGCGTTTCGCATCGTTGCGACCCACGTCCTGTTCGTTACCCCGTCTGCCTGCGGTTACGCAATCAGATTACCCTTCATTGTGCATAATACTGGTGAACGCCTGTTGGTTAGCCAGAATAACAGGAGTAACCCCTGCCCTAAATCGGCTGTGCTTGCAGCCCAATGCACTTTCGTTGCGGCTGCCCGCGCCAATCGCACTGCTGCTCATTCTCTCCGCGCCGTGCAGCACGGGACGCACAGCTCCAGACGCAAAAGCAGATGACGCGTCCTAATGTCCAGAGATCATTTAAGTAGCCCCAGCAGAATGTGCTTTGCCAGTGCCAAGGTATCGTGTCATTAATGTGTCATCCGTTACCTTGTGCACAGACTGTTGCAGCCGCCTGTTAAAAACCATGCTAGTCCCCGCCTCTGCTTGATAACTCTAGCCTTGGGCAGGCTGTGATAGTCACAATCCTCAGCCTCAAAGCCCTCCTCCGACATCATCAGAGGCATCTGATCCAATACGGCCTCATCGTCCGCATCCGACGGATATCTGTCGTCACAAACACCACGCACTTCCTTAGGCCGGGGGAACTCGCAGCCGCTCAACGGCCCGAGACACCGCGCCAGCAGACCAGGTCACAGGCGGAGCGGTGGCCAGGAGATCATGCCTTCATTCTTGCCAATCAAAAGCGTACTCTGGATTTTGTGTCCACGTGCCATCGTCACCAGCAATGTCCCATTCGTGCCACCGGCACTGCAGGGCACAGTAGGGCACTTTTCCGTCACCAACGTCGACCAACCACAGCAGAGCACTCAATTAGCAAAGTCTCCTTCCACAAGGGGCACGAATGATCCGTAGGTGACATCACAGGGCTGCTCCTGACATCCTTCAAAAAATATCTCGTACAAAGTCGTTAAAATGCATTCTGCACCGTGAAAATGAGTGGTTTGCGCCGTTAAAGCTGAATAAGCTTCCCGAGTAATGAAATGTAAAATTAAGCGTAACATCACATTTTACACAGTGGCTTTTAGGCGAGGCCGCCGGTAACTGAATTAAGATGCTCAAAGCCTTACACTGGAGACCGTGGATTCTTACAGCGTAAGGCCATCGCGACACGTACATACACAGTCGTTTCACATTGCGGGGTGATGTTGCTGCGTATGTAATCACAAATGAGCAATTTGCAAGCCTTTTTTCGAATTCGGAAAAATTTGCAGCGTGACGTCGGCACACAAGGACCTCCTATTTTCAAACGACCTTCAGCGGACCTTCAAAGTCCACTGTGAAGCGGACGGTACTTTGTACGGTTAACACGCCCGTGGCAATAACCAGGGCAGCCTGCCGGATTCAAACCTCCGCAACGGGCGGCGAACGCGCTTCCACCGGGCCGCGTACACCGTCCTGAAAAACCCGAGGGCCTTTGGTACCGACGCAGGAGTCATGCGCACATTGCTCTGCTCTCCCCGCGGCTTGTGGTGCACGTAAATTCAGTGGCAGTGCCCATTTTCACCCGTGTGTGCTCATGACGATACTGCACATCGACATAAAAAAAAACACTTTGCCCACCTACCTATTTGCAGAGTACAACAGAGCATTGTATAAAACCTCCGAACATCTACATTGCCTACACTGCGATAGTGATTACATTTGCTTGAAGCGATGACCAACCATGTTGATGACTAATACCATCGACTGCTCAACGGAAAGCTGACGCATAATACTGCGTGTCCGAGCTGCCCTCGTGTCCTTTTACAATAGCATAATTTATTTATCTTAAACACCAAGTACCAAGACACAGACAGCCGGTGGGGTATTGCCCAAGAGAGCATTGGGGTGGTACGAATCTCTTTTGGTGGTCCTGAGCCACTTGCTGGACATTCTACATTCTGGGGCCAGTATCTCCATTCGACAACCAGTGTTGGCTTCCACAAAGTGGTACTCGCTTTGTCAACCCAGGAAAGACGATCGGCTGAGTCAACCCTTACAAAAGAGAAACCATGTAACAGAGTGTAGAATGATATACAGCAAACCCTTGCCCATCGCGGGGGTTACGTTCTTGAAATAAGCCGCAATCGGCAAATCCGCGATCCGTAAACTCAAAGGCATCAATGGGAAAACCAGAGTTTGGCTCATGGTTCGTAATACAACACTCGCCCCTCCTGATGTTTTACATTACTCTACATCAACTCAAACATTAAACAGGAAGTACTTTGAATGAAAAATATTATTCGTATTTTCTATTGTTAAATATCATTTGTATGGTAAATATATAGAACGATTTTCGTTTTCAAGTCGTGAACAATACTCTACACGTATCCGTGTACAGCGGCGTGTGTGTCCTTCCATGGCAGCAGCATCATCGCGAGCAGTACAGTTACAGTGCATACAGGAATCTCGCGGTCACCCGCGAATTGTGGAGCTAGAGGGGCGCGATCCGTGAACTGTACCTCAATAAGTTTGGCACAAAACCGCAATTGCTACACTCGCGAGAGGGAAGAGTTTGCTGTATTATTAAATCAAGGTAAATTGTCAACAAACGCCAATAGTATAAATTTTGATTTAAAGCTTTCGTGACTGCAGGGATTCATATTCTTGGTTCTTTATGATTTTATTGTTTCCCTTCTACGTGACTTTACCGAAAGAACCAAGAATAGAATGTCAATAGTATACTTTTTTAAAATTATCAATACATGTATTGTTTGCTTTAAATTCATGAACGACCATATATAATCTTAAGAAGGAACGCAAAACATGAATATTCATGTAATTATGTAATGCCTTAGCAATACATCATACACTGTGATATCGTCGGCAGGGGTTGGCAAGGGGACACGCGTGCTTACCCTTTATGGCTGGTTCTATCCATCCTTTTTAGCACTGGTTATTTGTCTCCAGCAGTTAAGAAACCCTTTGATCAAAAGTCCAGAACGGTAACACGTTGTGTGGATATTGGATCATCTCTACGCAGTGAACCCAGGGCTCGAACCCAGGTTCTGAGCGCATCTGACGGGAACATCGAGGGGCCCCGTGAGTGACCTGGACGAAATGAACTGACGCGTCGTCACCGCCACCCACCACATGACCACGGTAACGCATTATGCCGACATGTAACAACAAGTAAAACCACCCCAAAATATATTTCACCGCAGAGGTTGCTTTAGACGATTAGATGATTGGAACTAACAACATGGCGCTTAGACTTTGACACACGCTTTCGAAAGGAACGCCGCACACGAATCTGACCACTCGTACAGATGTGCTCTGGGCTGTGGGCAGCAAATCTGCCAGTGCGCAACAGAGGGTGTGGAAATCACTCAAGAGGCTGCTTCAGCAGCAGACGGTTGCACAAATGCGCGCACGGCATTTCAAAATACTCGCCCAGTCACCTCGATCACGAGTTCCCCAAGTTCACACAGTTCACAGCTTCTGACAAGCCAGCAGGGTGACGCATTGGTGGCACCCGTGCCTCACAACAAGAAGGGCCGGGGTTAGTTTCCTGACTCGGGTGCCTTTCTGTGTGGAATTTGTATGTCCTCCTGTTCTGAAAAGGATTTCTCTCTGTTCTCTGGTTTCCTCCCATAGCTGAACAAAACACACAATCTTGACCTTAAAGCTTTCTTGACCACAGGAATTCATATTCTTGGGTCTTTCGGTAAAGTCACGTAGATAGGTTCAAAGAAAAGAACAAAAAAATAACAAAAAACCTACGACGTTTCAATCGCGACCGCTTGTGTTGCGATCAAAACGTCGTAGTTTTTTGTTATTTTCTCTGAACCTATCTACGTGACTTTACCGTAAGACCCAAGAATAAAAAAAACACAATGCAACCGGTCTTGGCCAAACATCCCAATGCAGAAAAAATAACCTACAAATTATTAAACTGAGATTACGCATAGCAACATCGCTACCCCCCCACCCCCACCAGTGCGAAAACTTGGCAGGACCCTCCTGAAAAAGTCTTGAGACTCAGCAAGGCCTTTCCTGGGTGAACAAGCGGAATAACGATGGCTACGATCGCCTGGCTGCAGCTGCAGCATCTCACCCGTCCGTTAATCCGCCGCTGGGCCTCTGCCTGCTGTCATCCTCCCAGCCGAGACTCCCGCGGGAGAATTCCCAGAGTGCAACACTTCCCCGTGAAGTGGACGCCACAACGGCAAACAGCTCGCCACGTTCCAAATATTAAAATAACCCACAGCTTGCGGACCACGAGTTCATGGCTATCTCGCCGAATTTAATTCCGCAATTAATTATGTATGCCTATAAGTAACGCGTAAATTATGTACGGCTGCGTGTAACGTATTAATAGCGCGTGGAGCTCATTCATTCATGAGACCATGAGTTCGGTTCCCTGACAGGGTCGATTTTGCCCATTGTCTTCCATGGGATGAGGTCGTGGGGACTGAGCCACCACCTGGTGAGGGCTGCTCCCAATGGGGGAGACTGCAGAGGCAGCTGTGGCATGGAGCGAGAGAGGCCGGCTCCGGTGTGAAATATAAACCACGGGCTCGGCACCGCCACCGGAGACGAGCGTCGCTCGGCAGCATTCATTCGCTTTGGCGTTCCTTAAATGCCGCGGCAAACCCTGCAGCGCCTGCCTTGCGTCATCGGCATCTCATCTCAAGTGTGCAAGGAGCACACGCATTGGAAGTTGGTCTCCGTGTTGCCCACAAATCAACTCGGGCATCTTTGCCTGCAAGTGGGCATCCGTCCGCAGGTAGGGGGTGACGATTGCTGCTCTGCGTAATCCAAACTCAGTAATTTTCAGGGCGAATTCTCAAGTATTAGCAGATTCGGACCATCATGCCGGCACAAAACGGCCTGCTCATTTCGAATATACGCCGTGGGAACCTCAACGTCCACTGTGAAGCAGACGGCGTTACGTACTTTTCGATTAATACGCCCGAAGTAATAACCAGGGTGGCCTGCCAGGTTAAAACCACAAATGTCTGCAAGGGGCGGTGAAGGTGCTGCCGCCGGGCCGCGTCACAGCCCGCTCTGGGTTTACTTTTCAACGAACAGGAGAAAGAAAAAATATTTACATTTATTAAAGCAGTCGCATTGCCAGAATTGATCGAACATTTGCTGAAAACCGTTTCACTCTGCACGTGCGGTCGATTAGCGTTTCCCTCACGAGTAAACACACAGGTAGGAGCGTTATTAGTAACTTAACGACGTTCATAACACTATCGATCGCTCAGAGGTTTCCACGATATCCACTTAAAGGAGTGCGCGAGTTGCAAATTGCAGCAGAGCAAACTGAAGCCGTCTTGTCGCCGTGCCGCGTCAGGGTCAAGAGGTCGGCAGAGACATGCTGGAGACGCCTCCACACCTCGCCTCTGGGCCCCTCCTGCCATCAGATCCCATTGAAAAATCTGACATCCTGCCTCCCAGGACGGCTCTCACAGCAGCGCACCAGCTGGTCTTTAACCGGGCAAGCGGGGGGGTGAGCGGTTTGCTGGGAGGCTTCGTGCTGCGTAACGCTCGGCACTGAGGCAGGCCAAATTTAGCATGAAACAAGATTTCCACAAAAGCCTTTTCGCGCGGTGGCT